AACTTGAAAAAGAAATTTAATTTGATTTTTTGAATAAACGATTTCACCGATTTACACGCGTTTTCCCTTGACCAAATTTTGACCGTATCACCCTTTACACATCTCTTGAACGCGAACTCAAGGCCAAACACCGGGTTACTGGCGGCAGTTTGTAGACGGATTGTCGCGCGAAACGTCTATGAATACGCTTTGGAGTACGGCGCGAAGAATGCGTAACCGGTCTACTAACAACGAAAGCGAGGAATGCTCTGATCAATGGATTCTTAAATTCGCACGAAAAGTGTGTCCGGATTCCGTGCCGTCGCAGTTGATTCCTCGCGAAACCGCGAATTCGGTCGAACTTTCACTCGCTCTCCTTTCGTGTGGCAATTCTGCCCCGGGATCTGATAGAATAAAGTTCAACTTGCTGAAAAACCTCCCAGACGTCGCTAAGAGACGCATTTTGAACTTGTTCAATCAGTTCTTGGAGCTCAATATTGTTCCCGACGATTGGAGACGAGTAAGGGTGATAGCCATTAAAAAGCCTGATAAACCCGCGTCGGATCACAATTCGTATCGGCCCATCGCGATGCTGTCGTGTATTCGGAAATTGATGGAGAAAATGATCCTTTTTCGCCTCGACAAATGGGTTTCAGATACTCAATTTGGTTTCCGTAGGGGTAAGGGAACGAACGACTGTCTCGCGTTGCTTTCCTCGGAAATTCAGTTGGCTTTTGCTAAGAAAGAGCAAATGGCTTCTGTGTTCTTGGATATCCAGGGGGCTTTTGATTCAGTATCCGTTGATCCGTTGAAGTTCTTTCAGAGAAACTCCACGTTTGTGGATTTTTTTTTTTTATAATTACTTTATTTGTACAGGCTCAATCGAATAAACTTTACAGAGCCGAGTTATCCTTTGCGTTATACATTATTACTGTCTTAAATTTAAAGTTAAAGGAACTGGACCGAGTACTCGCGGTTTTCTCGAGGTTAGTGGAGATTTACAATTTTTTGGATGGGAAAAGGGAAGAAGGAGGTTTGAAATGTGGTTTACGATACAACTATTTACCTAATCCTAATGCATGAAATTATTTCTATTCATCTTGAAAACAAACATTGAAAAAAAAACCCACACGTACAAAATACAAACTAAACACAAGGTTAATCAAACTTACAATCTAAGGTTAATATCTTTAAAGTAAACATATATGAGTTTCATAAACTCCAGATCGCGTCTAGCCAAAATATCCCGAACTGGAACATTAGGTTGTCTACCTCGAGCCCGAAGGGAATCATAAAAATGTGATCTGACTCCACGATACTCTGCACAAGACCAAAGGATGTGATCAGCGTCCTGATAACCTTGTCCACATTCACAGAGATTGCTGTCTCCCAACCCCACACGGAACAAGTGAGCGTTTAGACAATAGTGATTGGACATGAGACGAGACATCACGCGTATGAAGTCTCGACCCAAGTCCAACCCTTTGAACCATGCAAACTTCGACACTTTAGGGATAATTGAATGTAGCCATCGTCCCAAGCTCCCTTCACTCCATTGATGTTGCCAGCTAACGAGCGACTGCTGACGATAAATAGAGAAAAATTCACTATAGGCGATTTGTCGATCATAAATGTCGCCGTTTGTGGATTGTCTCCATTAATTAATAACTTTTTGTACAATTTGCTGTCAGAGAAACATATGAGCTTTTCTCATGGAAACTCTACAGCTTCACGATTTAGCTACATGGGTCTCCTCCAGGGCTCATGTTTAAGCCCCCTTTTGTATAATTTCTACGTCAGAGAAATTGACAATTGTCTAAGCGACAACTGCACGTTGAGACAACTTGCAGATGACGGCGTAGGGTCTATCACAGGGCCAAAAGAGGTTGACCTGCAAGGACCCTTACAGGATACCTTGGACAATTTGTCTGCTTGGACTATCCAGCTAGGTATCGAATTCTCCACGGAGAAAACTGAGTTGGTCCTTTTTCTAGGAAGCATAGCCCAGCACAACCGAAGCTTCAACTTTTGGGTAAGCCGATCACTCATTCTATGTCTTTCAAATATCTTGGGGTCTGGTTCGATTCCAAATGCACTTGGCGATCCCACATTGAGTATCAGGGATCGAAAATGCCAACAAAGGATCAATTTTCTCCAAACAATTACCGGAACGTGGTTAGGAGCTCATCCGCAAGATCTTCTAACGTTGTACCGGACAACGATTTTATCGGTTTTAGAGTACGGTAGTTTTTGCTTCCAGTCGGCGGCTAAAACGCACATCATCAAGCTGGAACGGATCCAGTATCGTTGTCTTCGTATCGCGTTAGGGGATGCATGCACTCGACTCATACGATGAGTCTGGAAGTGTTGGCGGGCATGTTGCCACTCTCAGATCGGTTTTCGGAATTGTCCCTCAGGCTCCTCACCCGTTGTGAAGTTATGAACCCACTGGTAATCGAAAACTTTGAGAAGCTTCTTGAGCTCAACGCTCAAACTCGTTTCATGACTATGTACTACGTGTACATAACACAGGATGTCAGCCCTTCACAGCATAATCCTCATCGTGTATGCTTCTCCGACTTCGGCAATTCAGTTAGTTTTGATTTATCTATGACGCAAGAGATTCGCGGAATCCCAGAACATCATCGTTCCATGGTTGTTCCGTCATTATACACTGCAAAGTTTTGCCAAGTTGATTCCGCTAGATCGTTCTTCACAGATGGATCACTAATAGAGTCGGCCGCTGGTTTTGGTATTTTTAACAAATTTCATAACGCCTCTCGAATGCTTCATGCTCCTTGTTCCGTATATCTTGCTGAGCTGGCGGCAATACATTTTACTCTAGAAACTATCGCCTCACTTGCACCAGATCACTATTTTATTTTTACGGATTGTCTCAGTTCTGCTAAGGCTATTCGCTCTATGAGGTCGGTAAAGCACTCCTCGTATTTTCTCATGAAAATACGAGCGCTTCTAAGTGCTTGACAATTTGTCATCACCTTTGCAAGGGTCCCATCTCATTGCTCGATTCCGGGCAATGAGATGGTGGACTCACTTGCTAAGGTGGGCGCTATGGAAGGCGATATTTACGATCGACAAATTGCCTACGATGAATTTTTCTTCGTTTATCGTCAACAGTCACTCGAGCGAAGGGAGTTTGGGACGATGGCTATATTCGATTATCCCTAAGGTGTCGAAGAGTCCTTGGTTCTAGGGGTTGGAGGTGGGTCGAGACTTCATTCGTATGATGTCTCACCTCATGTCCAATCACTATTCGTTAAACGCTCACTTGTTCCGTGTTGGGCTGAAGGACAGCAATCTCTGTGAATGTGGACAAGGTTACCAGGACGCAGATCACATGATTTGGTCTTGTGCTGAGCATCGTGGAGTCAGATCTGAGCTGTACGATTCCCTTCGGGCTCGAGGTAGACAACCTTTCCAGTTCGAGATATTTTGACTAGATGCGATCTGGAGTTTATGAAACTCATATATGTTTACTTTAAGAATATTAACCTTGGATTGTAAGTTTGATTAAACCTTCTACTTAGTTTTTATTTTGTACGTGTGGGTATTTTTTAAATGTTTGTTTTCAAGATGAATAGGCATAAGTTCATGTTTTAGGATTAATTAAATATTTGTATTGTAAACCACATTTCAAACCTCCTTCTTCCTTTTCCTAAGAAAAAAATTGTAAATCTCCACTAATCCTTTAATTTTAGATTTAAGACATTTATAATGTACAACGAAAATGATAACTCGGCTCTGTAAAGTTTATTCGATTGAGCCTGTACAAATAAAGCAATTAATAAAAAAAATAGTTTCTGAGACACGTTTTATTAAACATAGTTAATAATTACAAAATTGTGTCCGAAAAGAAATAGCAGAAAATCAATTAAGCTTTATGCAAAAAGTATACTCCGAAAAAAATTGCATTGTTAAAAACAACCGTAAAAATATAATTTTAAATACCTTTAATCTTCAAAGGTTGAGCCAGCTTGCAGTTGTTTCTAAATGAAATATTGTGGCGGAGACTTGTTATCGTGCTTTCTTAGTTGCTAACGTCATATCTCACTCATACTACGGCATTTGGCAATCGGTAAGCATTTTTATCTCCCACGAGGCAATTACGAATGCAATTTAACTGTTGTTGACGATTAAATGCGAATATACTCAAACTGCATTTAGCGGCGCCGGTGGTGTAGTGGTAAGCGTAACTGCCTCTCACTCCAAAGGGCCTGGGTTCAGTCCCAGTCGGTGCCATCGGGATTTTCTGAGGCATAAAATCTCTGATCAAAAACCGTTGGTCTCCGGTTCATGATTTGATGGGTCTCAGTACGGAAAACAAGATCGGCAAACACTCTGGAATAAAAAAAAAAAACTGGAATGCACTTGATAACGCATAGTAGACTGGTGCAAAATTTGAAATTTTCGCTCCGCAGTACTCAAACGGTTTTTTTGTTCATACTTTCTCAAAATTCACTCCTATTTCACTCTGCGATAACGATAACGGTTCTTGTTGTAAATTTTCTCAGCTACAACTTTGATTCACTTTTCGATTATGTGTAAAGAACAACAGTTATTAATGGTTCAAGTCACTAGTGTCTTATGATAATGCTCAATCAACTGTTCAGCAGGCAACATTGGCATTTCTGGCGCGTAGAGTAGAGCACAACAATCAGGACTACTATGTCACACTGCAGAATACAGTGTTGCCCAAAAAACAGCGGTTTGATCATGTCATAACATTATCAATCCTTCAATAAATGAATAACTATCTAATTGTAACCCATAAGAATAGCTATAGAACTATTTAGCAGTACAATATGGCTTTCCATCTAAACTTCAAATGGTTTGTGCCAAGTTAATTTCTTACCAAATGAGTTTAAATTTGTGAAGCTAATCAGGTCTAACGCATAGTCGTCGGTGCTATCAGCTTATTGCAGCAAATCACATCCAAGCAAGCAGGTGCCAATTAGTCAGTCAGTCTTTGTTGGGCATCGAATCAATACGAACGGAAGGCGGGAAAGTTGAAAATGGGCAGTTTAGGTGAATATGTGAATGTGTGTAAAGTCGCGTGTGCGAATGTGTTTTACCCTTCTTGCAGAGAAATCGATTTTGCTCCATCAACATCCATCGATTCTAAATCAGGTCTTGATCATTATCCCAAAATAGGAGCTCATTTGGTTGCGAACTCATACTGCACTGGCCCTTTGAAGTTTGTATGAGAATTACCGTGGTAAAAGTATACTTTTAGTTCTCCTCGTCCTGGCCTTTCGCCATAATGATTTACGAGTAAGATTGCCATCTGTACTTACAGAAAATTTTCTCAGCAACTAGTTGATCGACAGGATAATTAGTAATTAATTAATTAGCAAGATGATATTCTTCTGACATGCTTAATCAATTGCTCAGCAGGCAACATTGGTGTAATTGGCGCGAATAATAGGCCATACAAAAGCCAGGCAACTATGCCACAGTGCAACATGAGTAGCAGACGATTGATCTTATCGACGAATTACCGATTAAAATCTTCAACAAGTCTTCTGCAAACTTATAGCACAGTAAACAGACATCCAAGTCAAATTCCTATAATGTGTAAGAAATGTAACTGCTATTTGGAACAGACATTTGAAACTAGCAATATCGTGGTGGCGCTAGTGTCGCTGCCCATCGATGTCGATGACCGACGTCATCTTAACATAAATGTCAAAATTGTTGTGAGCAAAACATTGTTTGTTTACAACCGATCAAAATATGGGCCGCAAGTGCGAGTTTTATTGATGCGCAAATAAACAAGGTGTTACCAAGCGAAAATGTTTTTACAATATTCCTAAGGATGCTGAATTGCCCGAACTACAGGAGATTTTCTTCTCACACGTGGAGTCCAAGTGCTTGCAACGAAAAAGTTATGCTCCTGCCACTTCCCCCCGGAGGCTTTTCGAATTACTTGAAGAACAGATAGCAGTAAGCAGTGTTCAAATCTTACCACATTTTTCTGAATTGAAATGAGGACTAATTGGAGTTCCCACCCTTACTGAATCATTTGAAGATACGCCGCCAGTGAACCAGTCAGTTTTTCTCCTGAATACTATGCCCAGTTAAAACTGGAACGAAAAGTGGTTGTAGATCTACAGGAAACTGTAAAAGAGCTTAGTTTTTTATTCGAAAATAATGGTTCTGAAGAAACTCGATTGATTTCCGTTGTTTTGCCTTGTTTGTTTTGAACTGATTCGACAGTTCATTTGGATACACGGTCAATAAGATCAACCCAAATTTGTTGCAGTCTCGCAGACTACCCGGTTTGGTAGAGCAAATTACCGAAAGCGATTCTCACAAAACAAACACTGCTGGCAAATGCACCAACTCAAATCCAAATCATACGCATTATAGTGACTTTAGTTTCTCCCACTTCCCATCATAACATTCGCACTTTCCTGTCTCCTTCTTTCTTCCCTTTTTCTCTGCATTTCCCTAGCTACAAACATCTTAATGATCTAGGTTGGAGTACTCACGGGCCCGGAGGGTACTTATCGCTAATCCCATGCTGTGCATCGTTCCGCCGCTAGTCTGCACGGGCATGCTCCTATTCGTGGTACTGGCTGCTCAACGTTCGTTCACGCACCGTACCCACACACACACACTGTTTGCTCGCTCGTCCAGAGCCTTCCGAAAGTGAGCCGCCCTTTTGTTCGCTTTCCTCGAGCGCAGAGAGGTGGTCTCGCAGGTGCTTCTACCGTCGGTGTCCCGTACCTTGTTCGCCACGAACCTCCACAGCAATCGACATTCGTACACTTCGATCCGCTGACGCGCCGTAAGGTAGGCGTTGATGCCGGTCTACAAAAAGGACGTGACGCCGGTATACCAAAAGGATATATGCAAAAAAGGACCCAGCAGAAACACAACGAACTTATAATTTGGTTGCTGGAGTGTAGCTTGCCCGCTGTGGTCGAATCTGCCTATCGAGATTAAGGTTAGAAATGTCCGGACTACCTTTGCTGACGTGTCCTACCTTGTTGCTTGTGATGCGCGCTTGTCCGGGTATCGTATGCGCTGGATCGTGTCCCACGATTATTCCCTGCGGGTAGCTTCACTGCAGGCCGATGGTTTTGGATGCCGTGTGATGTCTGCTCCTTTTCTACGGTGAAAATATGGCCACTGCCACAACGTTTAGGCGCGTTTACGACTTCCAGCACCGCATGCACTACGAGACGCGCGAGCGACTTTCGTGTTTCAACACCGGCAACGAACTGACGATGACGATGCGTTTCTCACTTTCTCGCTCCTTCTGTGTGTGTGTGTGTGTGTGTGTGTACAGCGGAAATCCCAACCGCTGTCAAACTGGTAGCGAATCGTTGTACCTTGTTTAGGTTTCAAGCTAGATGCCCATGCAGCATGATGTTTCGGTGGTGCACGGTCGTCGATGAATACTCATTCTGGGTTTCTAGTTTTGGGCTTACACGCTAAACTTATCGGTTATTATTATTATTATTATTTATTAACGACACTTTACCATCATCGTGGCATTCGTGTCGGGTAAAAAGATATTACATAACAAATTCTTCATGGCAATTATTAAGATTAGTTTTCATTATATAGGTTGCTATCTTTGAAAAATTGTAGAACTGCTGCCTCTTTCCGTGGGTTGTACGCCAATATTTCAGCTAATGATCCATTGATCCCGCAAGCGATTAGTGTTTGAGCATATTCCCTGCAGTCGACTAATATATGCTGTATTGATAGTTGCACTCCGCAACATCTGCATATTGGTGGAGGGTTGTTGTTCAGCAAATGCGAGTGGGTGAGTCGAGTGTGTCCTATTCGAATCCGTGTTAAAATGCGTTGTTCGGAAGCACATTTCCGATCCGGATACTTCCCTGATGTAGGTTTGATTTGCCTCAGTTGAGCTTGGCTGTGGTGCCATTCGGATTCCCAGGCAGCCCAAATGTTCCTTTTGGTAGCATGTATGACGTCTTGAGATGGTATTGGGATGTCGAGTTCAGCTTCATTTCTTCCTTGTTTAGCAAGGCTGTCTGCTTCTTCGTTTCCGGTAATGCCGGAGTGCCCTGGAATCGAACTGAATGTGACGTTTCGGCCTTCTACGGATTTTTCGGCAGATTGGATCCATGGATGTTTAGATCGACCACTCCTTAGGGCATCGAGACAACTAGCGGAATCCGTCAGTACGATTGTGTTTTGCTGTTAATGCAACTTTGATGCAGCAGCGTTAAGGGCAAATGCTTCTGCAGAGAAGACGCTGCAAATACCTGGTAAACAGTAACTGAATTGATCGCTACTTATAACCACTCCAGCACCAGTGGAGTTTCCATCTTTAGAGCCATCAGTGAAAACTTGTGTGTGTGAGTGGTAGCGATCAGCGATGAACTCTAAGAACTTTGGTATTACGATTTCCTTGTTTGTTCGCGCTCTGATAGTGCTTCTCAGATAATTGTCGATTTGTGGAGTTGGTGTGTGCCAATGTCTATCAGTGTCCCTTAGAATGCTGCTTAACTTCGGAAGGGAGAATCCTGCAGATTCTAGCAGGAGTTCTTTAGCTCGTTTTACAACCGGATAGTCGATCGTACTTGGGTTTTTTTTTCAACGAGTCGTACTGCTAATTGCGAAAGACGTGGTATGAGTGCTAGTCGGAAGGGAAGACATCCGGCCTCAGCCATGATGGAGATGATTGGGCTGGTTGTAAACGCACCAGATGCTTGGCGCACTACATCATTATATGTGGGTCCAAGGATTCGTACCGTATCTTCAAAGTTAATGCTAGTGAGTCCTAAGCCAAATAACAGTTTGGACACAACCAACCTTTAACAGGGTGGTTCGACTGCTTCTCTTCAACCGGTGCCCTAGGATTCGCAGGATATGAATCCTTCTGCTGCAACTTCTTTTGACAGAGTTCAGGTGTTGTATGAAGTTGAACTTTGCGTCCACCAGGACTCCAAGAATTTTCGTTTTTCTCACCCGTGGAATTGGGGTGTTATTTTTATTTATATTGATGGTACGACCTCGTTTTCGATGCTGTAGGTGACAGGCGTGTAATAGCTTGGATTTGGTTGGGGCGATAGAAAAACCAACGCTGAAAGCCCAATCGGTAGCGGCGTTGACACCTTTCCTCAGAAATTTACGAATTATTCCGTGATTTCCGCATACAGCAGAATATCGACATCAGGTGGCATTTTATTGAACATTGGTTGCATGGCCACCAGAAACAAGGTCACGAACAGTATGGATCCTTGCGGAACCCCATTTTCCGCTTTTCTGAGGCTTGAAGTGGTTCCGTTAGCAGCCACTTGGAAGTACCTATCATAAAGGAAGCTAGATATAATGTTCATCATTCGTCCAGATATTTTCCAATCTGCTAGGGTGCGAAGAATACCGGATCTCCATGTCGTGTCGTAGGCTTTCGATATGTCTAGGGAAACTATTTCCACATGTTCATCGTTACCGAGACTGATGAGAGATTCTAGCTTGGCTAGATGAGTGTCGACACCTTTTCCAGCACGGAATGCGTGTTGGCGTGGATCCAATTTTTTCGTAGCTTCCAGTTCAGTGATCAGGCGGCGGTTCACCATTCTTTCAAACAGTTTACCGAAACAGCTTAGAAGAGTTATCGATCTGTGGCCATCTGTTTTGCTACGGTCCGCATCACGCTTTGGTATGGGTATTACTGTACCTAGGAGCTCTAACAGGGCAGTTTTGGCAGAGAATGGTATCCGTTGCAGCAGAAGGTAGCTTATGTTGTCAGCACCAGTTGAGGAGCCTCCTCTACGATCAAGAGCCCACATCAGTTCTTCCATCGAAAAATCTACGTTGTAGGGTTTGTGTAGGTTTGGACGCTGGGTTTTGACGAAACTACGAGCGTCTGCTTTATGCTTCTTCTGAAATTTTTCAGGGTAGTTGGCATCAGATAATTTCCTTTGGTATTCATCGGCCAGTGCTCCGCTACTTTTTGGTCGTTGGTCATGCCCGTTGGAAGATTCAGTGTGATTGTGTTGTTTTTTCTTTTACCATTAAGTCTATTAATGTTGTTCCAAATT